CTTTCAGAAACTGTTTAAAATATTATATATGAGAATTAACAAAATGCCAAATTTACATGAGCAGGATTACTCAACTTTTTAGGTTTAGTCAAAAGGAATGTGTATTTAATATGTGTGATAATGAAGGATAAAGCAGGTACAGGCTTTCGACTCATGCCCTGCTCTTGTTGCATGTCCAGCTTTAGAGGGTTCAATATACATTTAAAAAATTTAATTAGTGCCAGTTACATGACTCAAACATAGACTAAGCATTTGGGGCCTCTCAATGTCACAGTAACTTCAGATTCTTCCTCTATGAAATGAATAAAATGCCAAGATTTGTATCACACTTAAATTTTCAGAGAGCTTAATTTTTCCATTATTATAGAAATTTTAAAGTATTATTTAAGATGCTGAAGAGTGGAAGTCAAGCTGAACCCAGTTATTTTTCCCTGTCCAACTGTTAATCTAGCCAAGAGCAATGGGGTCTAGTCTGGCCAGAGAATGGTTTGTTTCCCAATGCCTTCTCTTCTAAAGAGGGTATAGGAACAAGAAATTGGATACATGGGCTCTAGTGGTCCCATCCTCCATTAGCTCCTTGTGTGATCTGACGCAACTTCCAAAAATGTGGTGCTATTTTACCAAGCTAAAAACTCACAGTTGGTCCAACCAACACCTAAATATCTTTGAAGCTCAGTATTTGAGATCCTAAATTCAGCCAATTGTTTCAAAGGCTAAACTTTTATAGTTAACAGCACTGGAAAAATAGCAATCCTGTATGACCCTGTGGATCATATGTGAATGTATGTGCCAGTATCATCATCATAAGGCATATAACATCTACACTTGCCTCTACTTAAATGGAATAAAGTGAGAAGCAAGAATTGAGGCATCTTCACAAGAGCTCAGTCATACTGTAGTAGGGCTTAAAGATAAAAACACAAGAGCCTTCTCTACATTTCACAAACAGGATATTTTGGGATTGTGCACAGTGTCCCTTTGTGTTGAGATAGGGTTACTGGATTCTTGGAATTAGTATATTCAAAAACTCACCTCCTGGGACTTCCCTGGTGGTGCAGTGGTTAAGAATCCGCCTGCCAGTGCAGCGGATGCGGGTTCGAGCCCTGGTCCAGGAAGATCCCACATGCCGTGAAGCAACTAAGCCCGTGCACCACAACTACTGAGCCTGCGCTCTAGAGCCCGCGAGCCACAACTACTGAGGCCCGCGAGCCTAGAGCCTGTGCTCTGCAACAAGAGAAGCCACCGCAATGAGAAGCCCACACACTGCAACGAAGAGTAGCCCCGCTTGCTACAACTAGAGAAAGCCCACGGGCAGCAACAAAGACCCAACACAGCCAAAAATAAAAATTAATTAATTTAAAAAAAACTACACAATACACAAATCTTAAAAAAAAAACACCTCACCTCCTTTCTGATTCCCCATGACTCCTCCTTAAGAATATTTGACCGTCTTTCATTATTTTGAGATGTTCCAGTATTTGATGACATTTCTGTCTTCTAAGAACAGAATATTTCATTATTGCTCCTGATGTCTCCTTCTATGTAGAAGGACAACAATTAGCATAACATTTCTGAACTTGCCTCACCTCCTTCAATCAATCACTTTTCCCCTGGGTTGTCAGGTTCTACTCATTCTGCCTAGGATAGGTTCTGCCCTTGGAAAGAGGGAAAAAGACTTTCTCTGGTCCACTCCTGATGCTGAGTGGGTAAACCTTCCAACCCAAGAATTTGGTGTTAGGAATCTCACTTGCCCATAGATGTAAGCCACATTCTTTAAGGTTCACTGTCTCCACCATAAAACTGGTATTTTGGCCTCTGCCTGCCAACCCCTTATTCCATATTCAATTTAGAATCTGGATGGTTAAAGGAGTGTTAGTTATTAGTTACTCTTTAATACTACCATTTCTAACACTACCTATGGTTGGCTCATATCAGTCAAATCTAGTACAAAGGGGATGCATTAAAGTAGATAATACATACTGGTCAAAAGGCTGTTTCAGTTTGCCATATACCAGGTAGGACTTTGGGGGGGATGGAGGCGGAGAATAATAAGGCAGTACTTATATAAGTTTATTCAGTGAGTAGTTTTCACCACACAGTAATTTTAGATAAGAGAGTTACAGAGCATTCATTATATTGCCCCTAACTTAAATCTTCTCCTACACTCCCTCTTTCTGTGAATGGATTCTGAAATTGCCCAGGCTAGAATACTTGGCATGTCTTCAAATTCTTCATAACCTTCTACCATTATATCACTCACCACTCTATTAATTCTCTCACTTAAATA